TCCTCAAATTTTAATCTTTTTTTACATTTATAATTAAAAAAATTAATTTGTCCCCCTCTTAAATTATTTTCTGCATCCCCAAATTTTTTGCTATGTCTTTTGCCCCCTCTTAATTAATTTTCTGATTTCGCCCCTGTATACACTTGCTAATTATATATATGGTGCAGATAAATGATATTAAGGGTGATATGGTCCAAGACACTCTGGTTCTTCGTGGGGTTCTCTTCGGTTTTAGCTAGGTGTTAGCTGGTTCGGTCCGAGCTTGTGAGTTCGCCGGTACCTGCAAAGTGCCGGAATTGCTCTAGCGCAAAATTCTCCGACGCCAAGTCAATATCTTGGAGAATAAGACTAATGTGTGTAATAAATGTAACAGTAGTAATATTAATGAAGGGCAAAAATTCAAAATTGGTCTTATAATTTGGCCATTGTCCAAAAAACCACCCCTATATTGATCACTTTCAATTTAGATCCTATTATTTGTCGATTTCATCAATTTTGGTCATTTTTTATCCGTACCCTGGATTAAAAAGCGACGTGGCATGAAAAAAGGACCAAAATTGATGAAATCGACAAATTATAGGACCAAAATTGACGTGCCACGTAGATCATAATCACGCCATGTAACCTTAAAAAAACGACACGTCATGCCACGTCACTTTTTAATCTAGGGTCCGGAAAAAAAGGACCAAAATTGATGAAATTGACAAATTATAGGACCTAAATTGAAAGTGGTCAATATAAGGGTGGTTTTTTGGACAGTGGCCAAGTTATAGACCAATTTTGAAATTTTGCCCACACTATATCTTAGTAGTATTATTTTACCGTATTAATTAGAACTTCAATGGATGAAAAATAATAAAAATATAGAATGACATGATTGTAACATTGAGCTTAATTATTATGCACAAGCAGCAACATGGAAAAAACATTGGAAAATACTACAATATAAACATTTTAATCTATGACTAAAATTTCTCACGAAACTATTTCGTTCTAAAAACATTTTACACGATAGTTGTTGATTGAAGTACGTATGATCTAGCTGCAACATAGATTTTGTTAACTGGTCGTATAAACAGTATGTATCTTTTACTAAGTAGCTTATTTAATTATTTTATTTAGATTTATATTTATTTATACCTTTTTTATTAGTGTAGTCATTGGTTATTTTTAACTCTCGTAATAACATCTGTATTTTAATAACTTGATTTTTCTCTTTAATATTCAAGCCCAAATAAAACTCGGTGCCACGTATAACTGTTCTCTGTTCACGAGTACATAATTAATTTAATTTAACCAACACAATAATTCTCTTGTCAAGAGTAAAATAGTTTTATATATCACACACAAAATAGTACAAAAAACGCCAAAAAAAATCAATGGAATCATCAATTTGGAACATTAAAAGGGGTGTATTTAATTGGGATTTATAAAGACTTTTAAAAACTTTTTAGGACTTTAGAAATCCTGGTGTATTTAATTTAGATTTCTCAAGACTTTTAAAAGTCTTGAGGTATTCAATTAGGATTTTAAAAAATCTTACGAAATCTAGGTGTATTTAAGTAATTTAAGGTTAGGATTTATAAGGACTTTTTAAGATTTGCTGGGATTTCTAAAGAAAAAAACATGTAGAAAATTCCACTACAAATCCCACCTTTAGACTTGGTATTTTATAGGATTCTTTTAAAATCTGAAAATCCTCAAAAATTTTAAATCTTAAAAAGTCTTTAAATGTCACTTGAATTCCGAAACGAATACACCCACGAATACTCTTATATATTCAATGAAATACAAAAGTCAAACTAACCAACCAGTCACAAACACAAAAATTGCCCCTATAACTGAACTCATAAAGTCTTGCACACGTAAAGAATACTAAACATTCAAAAACAAGACCCACCAACCACAGAAAAGGATAAACAAAACAAAAGGAAGACAAGAAGAAACAAAACCGCAATAAACGCTTCTCTTCCAATTCCTCTCTCTCAAACTCCCCTCGCATGAAGTTCTTCACTAGTTGCAAACCAAGAGACACTCCCAAAAGCATCACCTTACCATGCAACGAATATCCTCGACTCGAAAACGCCCAAAGACAACCAATAAGTTGGGCCAACAAGATGTCGTCGAACCGGAAGCTTCTGGAATAGCCCAAACAACCAAACACGGCCACGATATGCAAGTAAGAACCGAAAGCCCAAACCGACGCGAACCATCCCTCGAAATCATAGTAAGCTAATCCGAGACATAAAAGGATGAAAGCGCCATCGAGCAATTGCTTCGCGTAACTTTTCAGCTCCAATGGTTTGATCGTCGACCTCCGAGAAGATTCTATATGTTGTAGAGAGAAATTATACAATAAGGCTGTTAATACCGTGAACCATGTGGGCACATACGTATATTCGGAGATTGCGTATATGCCCAAATCGAGAAAAAAGGAACTTGTGAATATTGCCACGGTAGACCAATGCACCACACTCATCTTCTTAATTTCTATAGAGATATAATTAAAGGAGGCCGAATTTAGACAGAAAGAGATATTATTATTTATTATAGGAGGAGATCATAACAATTGTTTGAGGCTTTTGTGTTTAATATATATAGAGAGAGCCAAAGGAAAGATATATTAACTCCTTTTAGTATTAGGTTTTGCATTTTTTTATTTTTTATTTATTTTTTTTTTCAATAAAGTCTCACGGAAATTGTTTTCCTATCGTTTACTATATTATTATATTTCCTTAACGAACATATATTACTTTCCTTATTTAACGATAAACATATTTTCTTATCACAGCAATCCTTTTCCTTTCCCCTTTCAGGTTTATGCCATGAATATATTTATTCTGCACACGATCATCTCATCATAAAGTAATAATAATTTGCAGATATGGATGAAGAATTTCACTTACCGGAGCACATAATCCACCGCATTCAATCCTTCCTCACCGGAAGAGAAGCTACTCGGACGTCTATCCTCTCTAATGCATGGCACCAGGCGGCCCTCAGTCGCCCGAATCTCGACTTTGACGTACACGATTTCAGAACCGGTCGTGATGAAGACGAGCCATACACCGGCAGCTCAGACCACAAATTCTCGAAATTCGTGAGGATGACTATTTCGAGGTACGAGCAACTGAAGCTGAAGATCGGGAGTCTGAGATTTCGTGAATATATAGAATGGGGGGATACTGATTATGATGTTATTTGCTCACGTGTTCTTTATAAGGAATTGATCCCGAAAGCACTTAGTATGGGCGCGACTCGTCTCGACATCGGTGGAGATTTTATGTTGCCGAATGAGGTTTTTGAAGCTGAAAATCTTGTCCGGTTATCCGTGGAGAAATGTCGGATCGATCTAAACCCGCTGGATCGACCTGCTGCTGTAAGATGTCCTCGTCTCGAATCCCTTAGTTTAAGCCATGTCGATATCGTCGAGCCCAACCAGATTTATCGCATAATCTCCGGCTGCCCCTCGATTAAGAAATTATTTTTCGTCGATAATGTTTGCTATACGTGTTTGGTAGGTGTTGGTCTCGCCAATTCTCATATGTTGACTTGTCTTCTTTGCGACATGACATTTTTAAACTTTGTTACGGCGTCCTCCAAGTTTCCTTTCCTCAAAGATTTGACGCTACATGATTTATGGGCTTACCCGAAAAAGATAGTGATTAGCAGCCGTTCGCTCGAGCGCTTGAATTTTGTTTGCTTCGAGCACTATTCAGAGAAACAAATCAGGTTCGATGTTCCGAGTCTCGACAAGTTCACGTACAAAGGTCCTCTCATTCATCACATCTCTTTTGCACCGACTTAGAAATTTCGGGTGTCTCGACTGGCTATAGAGGAAAATGATGGCCTGAGCACCGCATGGTTCGGAAAGTTGGAAAATCTTGTAAAGGAGTTGGGGCGCTCAGAAATTCATATTTGTCTAACTCTCGGCTCCAAAGCTATTCTCGATTATGAGGCGGACGAATTTCAACGCGTGTCGAAGCCTGAGGTGGATAGTGTAACAGTCGATATGGAGGGTCTGTCGTCCATAACTTGTTACGTTCTTTTTGATGGTTTGTTTCGGATTTTTCGCCCTAAGATTATAGCTCACTACATACTTCCGGAGTCGAGCTGCGGTCGAAAGACAAACAATGATTTGCTCGGGAAGACACTTCTCGAGGGAGTGAGCGGGAAATTCTCGGCGATCGGGAGCGCCATTTTATTATGTCGAGTGTGAATGATCTCAAGGAAGTAAATGTGCAGCTTGTTGATGATGATGATGATGTTGGTGTGTGGACTCCTCTGTCATGGGATTCATTTTTAGATGCTTCGAGAAGCACATATAAAAAGCGGGACATTCGCTTTCAATTGGCATGGAAGCCTTAGATAATTAGTTCTTTTGTTTACAGTATATTAAAAAAA